ATTTTGCTGAAATTTTTTCCCACTTCTTTTTAATCTTTGTTATAAGGGAAGTCTCTCTAGATAGGAGAAAATTATATTCAGAAATGAATGTAATGTAAAAACAAAAGGCATCAATAAAAATAAATTTGATTAAAAGAAGTGATCAGTAAACCTTTGGAGTGATTAATAGATGTTTGTTCTTTTTTCTTTTTCTTATTTTGTGGTAACATCAGGTTTCCATATATTATTACGTAGATGCATATCCTATTCTATAATTCGTTCTTATATTCCATCATATTTCTATTACATTATATAAAAATAAATATATATCAAATATCTTTTATGTAGTTGGATATTTCATGTCATTAGCCCCCATGAATGAATTAAAAAGTATTAAGTATTATTAAGTACTTACCATATGTAAAGTATAGAGTTAAGTTCTGGGGATATAAATTAAAAAAAACAAGAAGACGTGGTTCTGAGAATGAACCAGCAAAGCAAATTAATGTATCTTCTATAATGTTACCTCATATTTTATTCATGTTTTTTATTCCATCCTACATTGTCTTTTTACTTATGTATATCCTCTTATTCAGCACCAGTGAAAAGTACTGATTTATACATATATCCTTCTGACTATCTAGAGAAAAGAATGAAAGTAGTCCATTCCTATTCACTAGCTTGGGGATCATCGCATGTACCTAAGAATCATGGCAGGCAGCTAGGTCAAGTAAGGGATATAGCACTGGGCCTGGAGTCAGGAAGACCTGAGTTCAAATCCAGCCTCAGACATTTACTTGCTGTGTGACCCTGGACAAGTCACTTAGCCCAGTTTGCCTCAGTTCCTCATCTGTAAAATGAGCTGGAGAAGGAAATGGCAAAGCACTCTAGTGTCTTTGCCAAGAAAACCCAAAATAGGTTCACAAAGAGTCAGATGTGACTGAAACACCTGAACAATGAGGATCCTGGCACAGGCCTATCATAAAGTTAGCATGGGAGCATGTAGCTCACAGTGGGCCGTCCCTTAGAAATTGACCAATCACTACTGCAACTAGAGATGGGGATTAGTCAGCACTGCTCTTGTGGATAGTTCTTGCAGTAAAGCTGTAATGGAACTATGCAACACAGTGGGTGAAGCAAGCCACTCAGTCTTGACCCAGTTTGCTCAAACGGTGCACAAACCTGCATCATGCAAGTGGCTACATAATTGGTGGGTCCCAGATACCTTTGTTTCTTTTTTCTATTTTCTCCATTAAATCATTTACCCCTTATGGTGTTTGTGCCAAATAGCATCTTTCCTGAACCTTAAAAGAACAATGTCTCCTAGACTAATACAGTAGACTCAGTGACAGTTGTTTGTTGTCTGAAGGTCAAACTAGCTAATTTTGGAAAAATTTGTCACCAGATTGACTGCAGAGTGATGAATTTGGGGACCAAAACAACTTTTGGTCACTTACTGATGGCAGGTTCACATTTTGCAACTTTAGAAGGCAAGCTCCTTGAGGGCAGGGACTGTTTTTGCTTTGTCGTTGTATCCTTGGCCCTTTGCACAATGCTTGGCACATAGTAAGTTCTTATTAATGCTTCTTTATTGATTGGTCATTGGTGGGAGTATTTATGCTTAATAAATCATAGATTCTTGAAGCATTTAAGTATTATATTTGTATGTATGCATGCCTCTGTTTATGTATGTGAATGATTTCCTACCATACTATAAGCTCCTTGAAGTCAGGGGTGCTATATTACACATAGTAGATGCTTAATAAACGTTTGGTGGATGAATGGATAGATGTTAGATTTGGACCCAGTTGTGGAGGGATTTAAATGCCCAGTTGGAGTATGGACTTATATAATTTAACAGAAAGCAACTGAAGGGTTTTTTTTTTTTAGGAGAGGAGATAACCCTTCACCAAGGCAGCCTAGTACAGTAGAAAAACCAATGGATTTGGATTCAGTAAACTAGGTTAGAATTGTGGCCAGGATGGCTGCTAGCTGAATTATCACAGGCAAATCTGTTAACCTCTCAGCCTCAGTTTCCTCATCTGTAAAATGGGTAATAATACTTATACAACCTCCTTCTTGGATAGTTGTGACAAACTTTATAAATCTTAATATGCTGTATAAATATGAACTGTCATTATCATCATGGATAACAAGGCCCCTGCTGTTCCTTCCTAGCTGTAGGCCAAGCCTTGCCTTCATATTGGACTCAGCTCAGCAAGAGGGTAAAAGGAAAAGATCTGTAGCCGAATAGTTCCCTTTTTAGTAATTATACTTGCTGAGGAAGCCACTGAAAAGGCTCAGTTTCTCAATTAGAGAGGGAAAAGTATAAGTGATTAATTGACATCTCCTTAAAAAAACCCACATTAATCTCAATCTATCTGGTTTTTCTAATGTCTCTGTTATGGAGTGTGGCCAAGCAGGAAATCCATGAAGCTCACAGACAGCTGACTCCACCTTTGAATTTAAAATCATTTACCCTGAAATTGTGACACAACCCTGTGCCAATTACAGTTGTCAGCCTGTAGGCCTGGGCTCTGGTTCCCTATGATGGGGCAATCCTGGGTTAGAGATATTAAAGGGACTCATGATACTGGAGCCCAGGAGATGTGCATTCTCATTGTGACCCAGAATCTCTGCTTGCTCATTAATTACACAGGAAGCTAACTGAGAGCAGAGAATCAGAGCTGAGGTCTAATCTGGTAGGAGTGAGGAAAGCTCATTCTCAGGTTATAGGGTTCAACTACAAACCCTCCCCAATAAAGGCAGCTCTCCAGAAGGACCGATTGGGCAGGTCCTACATGTTAGGTCCCTCAGTGGAGTAGCGGGAAGAACCTTGGACCAAGTTTTGAATTCTGGTTCTGCCACTGAATCATACTATGACTCCAGGTAACCCACTTGGCCTGTCATAGCTGTATCGTCCTCCTTCAAAAGAGGGAGTCTGAGATTCTATGAGTAATACCTATGAAACACTTAATAACCATAGTGCTGCATGTACTATATGTATGAAGACATTTCTTCCTGAACACCTGTGGTTTCTCAGCAAAATATATAGGTACAATAAGTATGTGTTTCCTAAGAGAACCACAACTTCCCCAGGATCTTTTTCTCAAGTTGTTGCTTCCCTGGAGCCTCCAAAGGGCACCCCAGTGAACTGTGCTCCATTGAGCCCAGACACCCTGTGCTCCCATGCCAACCCATACTATCTCCCTGGCCATCTGCCTGGACAAACACAGGGCCACGCTCTGTCTTGTGTGTGTGTGCAGAGCATTCTATTGTAACTGGACCAAGTCACCAGCCAGCAGCTAGATCTGAGAACTAGGAAAAGGTGATCTGAGTTCAGTTCTTACCTGTTACTGCCTAACTTTGTGAACTAGAGCAAGTCTCCTCGCTTCTCCATGCATCACTTTCCTCCTCTGTCAGCTGAGGTTGGTCAGATTATTTGTAAAACCCATCCAGCTCTGACATTCTGTATTCTGTGTTATGAAATCACTTTCATCTATGTCATCCTCTGCTCTGAGATTCCTTCCAGCTCTGACATCTGAGGTTCCTTCCAGCTCCAACCTTCTATGTTCTGTAGTCCCTTCTAATTCCAATAGTCTGTTCTAAAATCTCTTCTAGGTCTGGGCATTTGTAGTGATGTAAGGTCCCTTCCAGCTCTGACATTCGACGTCCTAATATTTCTGCTAGCCTGCCATGACATTCATGTTTTAAAGTCCCTTCCAATTATATAACATAGTAGGATATACTTTTTTCTTTGTTTAAAATTTATTTATTTTTAGATTTCAATATTCACTTCCACAAGATTTTGAGTTCCAAATTTTCTCCCCAATCTCGTCCCTCCTCCTACCCTGAGATGGCATGCATTCTGAATACCCCTTCCCCTAATCTGCCCTCCCTTCTATCTCTCCCCACCACCTTCTCTTAACCCCTTCCCCTTCGATTTTCCAGTAGGGCAGCCTAGATTTCTATGCTAGGATATACATTTTTATTGTAACTTCTGACCTGGCAAGGTCATGTGTTCTCCACATGGAGCAGGAGAAATCTCACTGTCAGTTCAAGTCTTCCTGTTCTCTAGTAGGGGCTGATGAGCAGGAGTGTTTACCACCGGACTGCAAAGAAAGGACATGCAACATCCTGAAAGAATAAACTTAAAAAAAAAAAAAAACTACATTCATTAGTTCAGGGAACTCACAGGGAGGTCATTCTGATCGTTCTGCAGCTTAGTTTTAGAGGGTTATCTGGGGACACTGAGATGTTAAGGGACTCACCCAGGTTATTGTATGTATTGCTTGTATATTGTATTGTATGTATTGTATTGCATTGTATATTGCTTGTATGTGTCAGAGGTAGGACTTGAACTCAGGTCTTGCTGACTTTAAAGCTTGCTGTCTAACTACTAGGCCATCCTGATTCTCTAAGAATGACCATTGTAGAATTATGGCCCTTTTATCAATAAAAACCTAATCTGATTCAGTGGAAAGAGCCCTTGGCCTGGAAAGCTGGGATCCTGCTGGTCCTGGTCCCTTCCATCCACCTACTATTTGACTATGCACATTCACTTCCCTTCCTAGAACTGATTTCCCTACTTACTCAGTGAGGGAATTGAACAAGCTAATTTCTAAGTGCCTTTCCTGTTCTTAGGATCTTGTGTTCCTATGCATAAGTATACAGGAAAGAGGTCTTTGCCTTTTCTGGTTTGCAAGGTTTACTTATGCACTGTTTGGCCCCTTGCCGCAGGCCTGGGAAGGACCTTTATAGAGAAGAAGAGGGTGTTACACACTAAATCCTAGGATTCAGATCCTGAAATCACTTTTCTTTCTTTAAAAAGAAAAAAAAAGTCCAGCTGTCTGACCCCTCCTCTCTGCCTTTTCTCCCAGTTACTTTTTGTATCTTTTTTAAGTATAGTGGCCTTCCTGTGGGTGATAGGTATGTCGTAAGTGAAGGCTACAGGCACTACAGGAATGACCTGGTGCCTCACCCATCTGGTTATAATTCTAATTGGTGTGTGTAGGAGCGGCTTCTATAAATGGTAAGACAATCAGGAGCAACCCTGTCCCCTGGCACAGTACCTCAACCATTCCAAGAGGAGCACAGAGGAGAAGCAGAATCTGGAGAGACATGGCGGGTAAGTGTGATGAAAACTTCTCCAATGGATAATTGCTAGGGAGGCAGCCACCTTTTTCAGTCTGATCCAGGAGGGTTTCTTTGGGGGCTCTAATTCACCAATTCATCTTGGAAAGGCAGCATGGCATAGTGGAAAGGACCTTGGATTTGGAATCCAAAGAACTGGGCTCCCAAGACTGGACTCCTCCACTAACATTAACCTTTCTGAGCCTCAATTTCTTACTATAAAATGGGGACAATAATAGTGGTACTATCTACCTCAGGGTTATTGCTAAGAAAGTATTTGGAAACCATACAGTGCCATAGAAATGTGAGTTTGTTATTTGTGATTCGTGGATAAGGTCAGTTTTTTGAAAGGGTTCACCAAGGTTCACTATCACATGGGTTGCAAGGCATGTTCTGAGGCTCTGATCTCCAAAGCAGCAGATATGTGTGTGTGTTTGGGATGGATCTGAGAATGGCGGGCATTTGTTGAGCAGTTATGAGGCATGTCCATTTATAAAGAACAGTTTTGCCTCCTTGGAATATCTTAGATTCTAGTCATCTTTTCTAAGTAGTACTTGCCTCCTAGCATTTTTCAACAGTGATGATATTTCTGAGGTGTCAGTAACAACCACCTCGAATTCAGTGTGATGTGGAAGGACTGAGGGTCGGAGGACCTGGGTTCTAGTCCCTATTCTGACACTCACTGAATGACCTTGAGCAAGTCAGTTTCCTCCTCTGGACTTCAATTTCTTCATCTGTAAAATAGAGTTTTAGACTATAGATAGTTTGTACAGCCCCTCTTAGCTTTAACATTTTCTCCTCTAAGATCCCTTCCTTCTCTGGCATTGTTTTTCAGTGTTCTAAGGACCTTCCTAGCTCTGACAGTCCCTGTTTCTAGGAGAACAGCTATCGTAACTAAGTTGATTGAAAAAAAAACATCTGCACTATAGGAATGTACTTAAGTAAACTAACATCGGGAAGCATTCCGCAGCCTGGCTTGAAAGTGATTTGGTGATGTCAAAACTCCCAGTAGCAGAAAGAGCAGGTGATAGTGCAAGATTATCCTTGTTTTTACAAATAGCTCCTGGGCTAGGGAAAGAAAGGGAGCAAGAGAGAGGGACAGAGACAGAGACAAAGAGAGACAGAGAGAGACAGAGACAGAGACAAAGTGAGACAGAGAGAAGGAGAGGGAGGGAAGGAGAAGAAGAAGTACAAGAAGGAAGAAAGGAGGAGGAGGGAGGTAGGGTAAAGGGAGAGAGGAAACAACAAAACCAGAAAGAGAGAAGAAATAAAGAATGAGAAAGGAAGAGAAAGAAATTAAGAAAAAAAGAGAAGAAAGGCAACAACTTCGGTGTGACGATGGCTGTCAAGGATTCAGGCGTTTATTAGACAGCTCTTCTGCTCTCCAGCAGGCTAATTATTGTGTGCTGCAGCTAAGCCAGGGTGGGTGATAGCCAAGCCAAACCCATACAAGGCATGAGTCAAACTCTTAAAAATCTCATGAATGGTGGTGAAACCTGCAAGAAAGCTTGCCAAGGGAAATTATTCAGCCAGATGTGGGAGCCAGGCCCTAGCCACTTTATGGTTTGTGAAGCATAGGGCTGGAGGAGTACAAATTACACAGATCTCATGCTGTTCTATGCAGGGAGCACATTTCCTTTGACAGAGTGGCCTTTGCAGGGCAGGCGCTTATAATCACATAGCCTTATGGAAATGAACCTAATGAAAGGGACCTTAGCATAAGTCTGATCATGTCACTCTCATACCTGGAGGGCAGCTAGGTGGCTCAGTGGATAGACCTCTGGGCCTGGAGTCAGAAATACCTGAGTTCAAATCCAACCTCAGTCACTTACTAGTTCTGTGACCCTGGGCAAGTCACTTAAACCTCTCTCTGCCTCAGTTTCCTCATCTGTAAAAATGGGAATAATACTAGCAACTACTTCCTGGGGTTCTTGTGAGGATCAATTAAGATAGTAATGGTAAAGTGCTAAGCACAGTGCCTGGCTCATAGAAAGTGTTATCCAGTGTTACTATTAGTTATTATCATGCTCAAAAAGCCCCAGTGGCTTCCCTTTGCCTCTAAGATAAAATAAAAATTCTTCTATTTGGCTTTTAAAACCCATCACAGTCTGCTTCTAGACTGCATTTCTTTTACTCCATTTTGTGTACGGTACATACCCTGCCAAATCAACCCACTTGCCATTCCCCACACATGACATTCCATCTCCTGTTACATCCTCCCTCCTAGTCTTGGCCTCCTAGAACTGTCTTTGTATCCCCAGTAGTAAGCTCTTAATGCTTGTTGAGAGAATGAATGGATAAAATGAATGAAGAAATAAGCATAGAATATTACAACTCTTAATATAAGGAAAATATTCTTAAAAATTAGAGCAATCTATGTATGCCATCTTGGGGAGGGGGGAAGAGAGGGAGGAGGAGAAAATTTAAAACTCAGAATCTTAAGGAAGTGGATATTGAAAACTAAAAATAAGTTAATTATTTTTAAAAATTAGAGCAATTAGAACAATGTGAAACTAGAGCCACCTCAAGAATGAGTGGGTTCCTCCTCCTCACCGGAGGTCTTCAGAAGCTGGACAGCTGCGTGTTTGGAATGTTACAGGCGGCTCCATCCTACTCGGGTTGAAGCTGGACTGACTAGATGCCCCTGATGTCCCTTCCAGTTCTGTCATTTTGTAAGACCAGGGAATAGGAATTTCTCTGGCTTGGGTGAAACAAAATGCCTGTGCTTCTCATCTCAGCCCATGGAAACATAATCACCAAAACAGCATTCCAGGCAAACCTGCATTGCACATGGATTAGATCAGTCCAGGGATCCTCTCCTAATGATTGCCCTTCATCCGGAAGAGGGGTCCACATCAAACTTCTGCTTGAGACTGGCGGGATGGGTGTTTGGGAGCGCATAGTGGCGTTTACTTGTTGCAACATTTTTGCAATACATTTATCATGTGATTTTCATTTTAGGGCTGGGGTTGTCATATATTACCCAAATGCCAATTATAGACACTGTCTGAGGTGTGCACAGCTTGCCTAGGGAGAAAAGGAGATGGGAGTAGGTGGCAGTGGGTTTTTTTTTTTTTTTTTGATTTGGGGGATTTTTTTACATCACTGTTAGAAGCTCCTCTAAGCTGAGTTTTAGAGTACTGGGACTCTGGGACTGATACAGGGTGTCCCAAAGGTCTTAGTGCAGTTTTGTTGCTTTTGGGGGGGGGGGTTGTTTGTTTGTTTTATCTTCTCCACCTGACCCCTTATTAAAAGCTCAGGACTTCACTAATTCAGATGCAAACTTGGGCTTAGTATAAGGAAAATCTTCTAACAATTAGAATGATCCAAATGATCCAAAAATGGAATAGACTGCCCCAGGAGGTACTGGGTTCCCTATCACTGGATATCTTTAAGTAAAGGCTGAACAACCACTTGGGGAAGCAATAGAGGGTATTCTTATTCAGGTACTGGTTGTGCTAATTGGCCACCAAGGTCCTATCCAACTCTTAAGGCTCTGTGATTCTGGGGGAGGCATCTAGTTAAGCTCTCAGGTCATTTTCATCCAGCTTTGAACAAGTTTTCTCAACTTTTGGACATAGAATGTTAGCTCATTTTACAGAATAGCAAAATGATTTGCATAGAGTGACACTATTTTGTAGCAGGACTGGGATTAGAATCCCAGTCTTTTCATTCTCAGACCAGCAGCCGGTGGTCTGTTTCTTAGGTCGTGCTGTCCCAAAGCCAAGCTGGAATAAATAGATATACATAAGTGTGTGTGTGTGTGTGTGTGTGTGTGATTTCATCTCTCTCTATTAGATGCAGTCAGGGATGATAGCATAGACATACAGAAAAACCACATAGTTCTAAAAGCCTGGAACATCTGTACCAAACATCCCCAGGGTGTGGTCCTAGCCTTCTGAGAGCATAGTCTAAGGTAACATGACATTTGTATCACAGTAATACTGCACAATTCATGTTGTTTGTAGACTATCCTATTTAATATCACTTAATGTGTTCAGAATACATTGAGGAAGAAAGAAAGAAGGGTAGGATTTATTAAACATGTGCTATGTTCTAGGCACTATGCTAAGCACCAATGACCTTAGTAATAATAATAAAACAATGGCATTCCTTTGGCACTTTACGCTTGACAAAGTATTTTCCTCAGTGAATTCCCATGAAGAAGGTAGTGCGGGTATTATTATCCCCATTGTACAAATGAAAGCCTGGGTGGGGAAATGATTTATACAGTCACATCACATTCTTTAGGACCAAAAGGATGTTTCAGAAGCAATTACTTGTACCAGAACAAGAAAGGGAGCAGGGGGAAGGGGAATATTACTGGTCCAGAAATCCCAGTAATTTTCCTGAAAGAGAAAAATTAAAAATAAATTCTTGGAAATTGTGATATGGTTGAAAGTAATTTCTGCATGAGACTAAAGGATGAGCTCTGACTGTTTAATTAAAAGCTGGCTGAAAATCACATTAGAAAAGGTTCTTATATCTTCTACATGGCCTAACATCGGGGCCTATCTAAATCTTCAGAGGCCAAGTGCCCAGAGGTTTCTGTGGCTCAGTCTTTGGTTAAGTGTTGAGAGCGAATTGAGCACATGGATGTTAGGCATCATATAACAGTCAAAAGAACACTAGATTTAAAGCCTCAGCCATGCTAGTAACTAGACAAGTCAATTTCTAGCAGCCTTAGTTTCTTTATTTATAAAATGGGAATAGTAATACTTCTATGACTTACCTCATAGGGTTGTTATGAGGACAGTGTTTTGTAAAATGTCAAGTACTATAGACATGTGAACTAGTATTAGTCAAATTTCCAAGGGTCTGGGTCTGATATTTCGTAAGTCCTCATAGATATGAGAGAAACTTCTGTGATTGACCTCTGGATTCCTCCAGTGATCGGGGTGAGGGATGAGGTTTGGGCAGGCTGCTTCCTTGTAAGATAACTCTGGGATCCTGCCTTTCCTACAGCTTCCATAAACCAGTCAGAAGTTAGGCACA